CTTAACCTAACCACCATGAAGCCCTCAGGTAAGTTTTAACCAGTGTACTTAAGCGTATTTCTCAAATAAAGTTTAAACCCCATATTAGGTCACCTATAATCTCAACTCGTTCCACGTAAAATTTGGGCTTCGTCGGTGCTGGGGTCTAGGTGTGGCGCTCATTGCAATGCACCCTTGTCCAAAATCGGCAAAATTAAATGCTAATTATCTTCCCTACCGAAGGAATTATGGGAAAAATTTCTACAGACGGCTGACCGAAAGTTATATGTGGAGATTACAAATATGCCCTTGGATTTGACCTTTGACCTTTGCTTCAAGGTCAAACGGGCCAAAATTTTCAAAAAAAAAAAAAAAAAACGAATATTTTTACGAAAAAAAAAATAATTTGCGCTGATACTCAGAAACTACACCGACCTAACCAATAATATTATTGGAAAGTGTTACCCTTCAGGTCATCTTTCACCTCTTTGAGTTTGGGGTCATTCGGTGCATTTTCACGGGAGTAGCGGCCATAACATACCGAAACTGAAAACTGTGTCTAATCGAACCGTTAATGCTAGAGACCTGTTCTTTTTTGCATTTTGTAGAGCATGTAAAGCCCGACACTGGAAGTGGTCTCCGTTTTTTGTATTCCATACGGTTTTCGAGTTATGCCGTATCAAAAGTACATTGTGGTGGTGAAAGCAAAATGTGCAGTACGGTAATGGATAATAAATATTGAACCCCGGGAAACATAAAACATATGGCTTGGCGAGGCAGACAACTTCTGGTCAAAAATGACATTATTTCATGAAATTTGAACATCTGGAACTTCTCAGCACCTCCCATTTCAAGAATTTCAACCAAAATGACCTTTTCTTTATTTTAATTAATTTTTTCTGTACGAAATTTATGGCAAATTATTGTAACTCCAAAATTATAACATTTAGTCCCTTTTATCACCAAAACTGGCAGAGATAGGTCCATAGTTACTATTAAAGTTGAATAGGAAGTCACATACTGGCAATTCAACTGTTACCTTGAAATTGACCTTTGACCTACTTTTCACTGAACTGAACTGAACTTTACAAGTATTTGTTCCCCTTTACCTCCAAAATGGCAGAGATAGGTCCATAGTTACTATTGAACTCGAATAGGAAGTCATATACTGGCAATCTAAGTGCCACCTTGAAATTGACCTTTGACCTACTTTTCATCATGAATTGAACTTTGCTATTTCTTTCCTTTTTAACTCCAAACCTGGCAGAGATAGGTCCATAGTTGCTATTGAATTTGAATAGAAAGTCATTAGAGGCAATTTACTGTTACCTTTAAATTGACCTTTGACCTACTTTTCACCTTAAACTGAACTTTGCAAGTTTTCGTTCCCTTTTATCTCCAAAACTCGCAGAGATAGGTCCATAGTTACTATTTAACTTTAATTGGAAGTCATATACTGGCAATCTTACTCTGACCTTGAAATTGACCTTTGACCCCCTTTACACCATAAACTGAACTTTGCAACTTTTTAATGCTTATACTTACAAAACTGGCAAAGATACGCCCGTAGTTACTATTGAATTTGAATAGAAAGTCATTAGAGGCAATTTATTGTGACCTTAAAATTGACCTTTGACCTACTTTTCACCATGAACTGAAATTTTTGTTCCCTTTTATCTCCAAAACTGGCAGAGATAGGTCCATCGTTACTATTGTACTTGAATAGGAAGTCATATACTGGCAATCTAAGTGTGACCTTGAAATTGACTTTTGACCTACTTTTCATCATGAATTGAACGTTGCAACTTTTGGTTCCCTTTTATCTCAAAAACTGGCAGAGATAGGTCCATAGTTACTATTGAACTTGAATAGGATGTCATATATTGGAAATTTACTGTGACCTTGAAGTTGACTTTTGACCTACTTTTTACCATGAACTGATCTTTGCAAATATTGTTCCCTTTTATCTCCAAAACTGGCAAAGATATGCGCATAGTTACTATTGAATTTGAATAGAAAGTCATTAGAGGCAATTTACTGTGACCTTAAAATTGACCTTTGACCTACTTTTCAACATGAACTGAACTTTGCAACTTTTTTAATGCTTACACTTTCAAAACTGGCAAAGACACACCCATAGTTACCATTAAATTTGAATAGAAAGTCATTAGAGGCAATTTACTGTGACCTTAAAATTGACATTTGACCTACTTTTCACTACGAACTGAATTTTCATTCCTTTTTATCTCCGAAACTGGCAGAGATAAGTCCATAGTTACTATTGAACTTGAATAGGAAGTCATATACTGGCAATCTAAGTGTGACCTTGAAATTGACTTTTGACCTACTTATCATCATGAATTGAACTTTGTAAATTTTGGTTTTATCTCCAAAACTGGCAAAGATACGCCCATAGTTGCTATTGAATTTGAATAGAAAATCATTAGAGGCAATTTATTGTGACCTTAAAATTGACCTTTGGCCTACTTTTTACGATGAACTGAACTTTGATTGTACCATTTTTAGTAATATATTTTTGCATATTTTGAGAATTATTGTTGATTGCATTTTATAAAGCTTGTCAAGCACAAGGCTGTGGTGGTGTCCCTTTTTTTTTTTGGGGGGGGGTCCATACGATTGCGCTTACTCCAGCTGGTGGTACAATATCAGAATATCAGGAGGCGGTATCTCCTCTCTGCTCCTC